AATTATTCATTCATAAAATTAAATCCGGGGGATGGATGTGTGAAAGACAAAGGCCTGTCCTGGCACATCAAGTATGACAGCTGATACCTATGTTGACGAACCCTTCCTTAAACTAATCAAAATTAGAAACTACTGCGAAACAGTTGTTCAGTCCGCGAAATAGAATGGGTCAGAGGGGGCCTCGGTGGTGGGCACAATTGGCCTTGGTTTCGGCTTCGCGTCTGGCTTCGGTGTGAAGTTAATCCGCGTGTTCGGGTTCACGTGTTCCCTCAGCCACTCTCGCACGGACTCCTCCTGCAGGTCGGTGATGCCATAAGGTCCGTTTTCGGCTACCCAGAGGACCGCTTTGATTCCACGGACGTACCAGAGGTTGCCTGCCTTAAGCAGAAAGGCTGCGCCGTCCCACACTACCTCTGTAATCAAGACAACGACCATGTATCATCGGCTCGACTGTGTTTCTCAAAGTATTGTCCCCGCACGCACCGCTCAGCTTCTCCGTGCAGAACCTGTCGGACGTGAACTTGTCAAGCTCCACGTTCTTGTTGTTCTCAGCCACCTGCTTGCGACAGTCCGCGTCATTCAAGACTGGGGCTGACGCTATGTAATAGCGGCCGCCCGAGAAGTCTCCTCGCCACGTTTCAATCTGCGGGACAGGAACGGCATTAGATTTGCACGAGCTCATCGTCTCGAGAGTCGCTGTAGCTGCAGCTGCGGGGGGACTCACCACGCCGGTCTGGCCGGCACCGAACGGCCGGAGGGCAGGGTGGACGCCGCCGATGTCCAGGCAGGGCAGCGGGCTGCTCCGGAAGGGGGTCTTGAGCCTGAGCAGCGCCACGTCCCATGGCAAGTCGGAGCGCGGCCCACGGTCCCGCTCGTGGACGAGCAGCTCCACCACCTGGGGAACGAGAGACGCACGCGGCGGTGTTAGCAGGGGAGGGCGCGCCTCCGCCCTGGGGCAGCCGTCTATGGGCGTGGCTCCAACAAGCGAGAAACCTCTGATCTCTTTCTGCTGCCCGACGGTGTGATCCAGACGACGCGCAGCAGCCGCAAGTCGATCCCGCTGACGTCTCCCGAGTCGTTCCACCGCCCCATGGGGGTCACCAGTCTGTGCCCCTCTGCCAAAGGAACGAAAACTTCAGACTCGTCGGCGCTGACCGGGGTACGGTCACAAAAGTCTAAATCAGGTGACAGTTGTACTCACGCGTGAGCACCATATCGGCGCGAACGAGCACGCCGGCGTTGAGCTCCAGGCCGCCGTCGGGCTTGGCCTTGGAGACGAACACGGACCACGGCAGGTGTCCGGAGATGGAGCCGTTGCGGGGGATGGAGTCCAGCGGCACGCCGGTCACGCCGCACTACCCAACGAGAGTGTATAATGGCGCCATGCTATGAATTTCGTGTAGTCGTGATCCCGACGACGACGTGCACTTACCTGGCCGGGTGGGGGTGGCGGGGGCTCGGTAGGCAGTGAGGCGGCGGGGAGGGGTCGGCGCGTTGTAGTTGTTGTCGTGGTCGTGGTGGTCGTCGTCGTGATGGTCGCCTTCTCGGCGGGTGTCAGGCCGTTGACCCGCATCTTGGCGGCGAGCCAGACGAGGAGCTCGACGTCGTCCAGATTGTAGAAGGAGAACACGTCGGTGCCGGGAGCGCCGTTGAACTGCCAGTCCACGCCCAGGACGCCGCGCATGTACCACGTGCCGTTGGTGACCACCGAGTAGGCGCCGCCGAGCGGGAGCCGGGTGCGGGAATTCTCTGGAAGGCAGCGAGGCAGATGATTCGTTGTTTTGAGATGGATTACCGACGCAAATGCATGTTCCCCGAGGCAGGCGAGCAGGCGACGCGAACGTGAGGGAGCGTCGGGGGACGAGCGGGGTGGGCCGCCGGCTCCGCACAGCTGCATAGCGGGTGGGCCTACCCTGCGCTTCGCAGGCGCTATGTCGCTCAACATGAGCTGGGTCCTGGGTCCCCTGCTTTCCCCCTGCTCTGGCATGGCTCACAGTCTACATGCGATGGCGAAATAAGTACACCTTTCCCTGCCCTCTCCTATGCGACTGGAGGTTCCCTACGTTTTCTCGCGTCGTATTGCCTGGCGTGTATCCACCTCGGGGAAACTTTCATTGCTTTCGTTGTGGATGAACCGTAACTGTGAAGTTTGGAGTTGACCTCGGGAACTCGGATGCTTACGGAGACTGTAAGAAGACTGCGTGCAGAACTGGTCTCCGCCAACGGTGTCGGTGTCGCTCAGGTTCGTGAGCTGCCGGCACTCGTCCGTTGTGCGGTAGTAGGTCGGTATGAGGACTCGGTCGCTGCTGTTCGGGTCCGGAAACAGCTCGACTTGTCCGGTGGAGCCCGGACCGAGCGGCGGGAGGGCCGTGCCGACCCAGCCCGGCAGGGGCACGCAGAGGGGCATCAGCGGCACCGCGGACTTGAGCTCGAGCAGCGCCAGGTCGTAGCGGAAAAAGTCGTACGAGCCCTTGGTACGCTCACGCAAGTGAATACGCTCGACCTGCGGCCAGCAAGAAGGGGGCACTCGAAAGGGGGTCGGCTCCGGCTGAGTGGGCCTGGGTTCAGTGCGAGGTTCAGTGTGAAGCCTCGACAAACCTCCGTGATCCTGCGGTCTCTGACGTCGGCCGAGATGTACTTGACGATGACGTCGCTCGTGGGGATGGTCTGCACGCTCCCCGTATCGTTGGCTTGCGAGACCGTCACCAAACGGATGGCGGCTGGTGGCGACACACGTCATTTGGAGAAACAAAAAGGTTTCAGGTCATGCGACGGAACGGTCTGATCGAAAGTTTATTCCCACTCACAGGTAAGGACCATCTTGGCGCCGACCAGAGTGCCTCCCCGAACGGCCCAGTGGCCGTCGGGTTTCTTGTAGTCCACGTGCACGTCCACGTTCCACTGCATGTGGTTGGGGGTTGGGCTTTGGAGGGGGTCTTCTCCCTCGGCCAAGCCCTGGTCGATGGGTACAAACACACCGCACTGCGAAAAATATTACAACTATCAGATCAGTATTTTCGTCTTTTATCAAAAAATTATTTTCAAATTTCTGGACAGTACCTCGGACTTGGAGGGGTGACCGCCAGCGCAAGTCTTTGGGCCCATGTCATCGGACTTGGACTCAACTGGCAACAAACCAAACCTCTGGCACACATGAAAGGAGACAAATATAGGGCGAGAGTTGAGAGACACGTTTTTTTCCCATACCTATCTGCAGACGGTCGAGTTTTTTTCGCAGCCAGCTCCGGAGGTCCACGTCGGTGAAATCGTTGGCCAGCAGCAGAGAGGAGCGTCGCAGCTTGACATGGGCGATGAACATGCCCTGGACGAACCACTTGTTGCCAGAGTTAACGAGGAAGCCGCCACCTTGCACCTTAGGATCTGCAACAAAAGTTCACCAAAGGCCCAAAAGTTGGTACGTACCGCGCAAGGACGTCCCCGGACGCCCCTGGCTGTACGTTCCTGTTTGTGGCCACAAGCAAAAGATTATATTTGGGGCAATATGTGATATCCGACGCCCCAAGCCAACGCCCCAAGCCAACGCCCCTCCTGTAACTAAACAATTAGCTACGATCGAAACGACCGGATGCAGCTTCATCCGAACCGAAACTGTCGGCCCTGAGATCGACTACCGACCGAGGCAAACTTTTTTTTTTGTCGCTTCTCGTCTCCCGTGAGGCAGGACTGATTTCCGAACTCGAACCGGGCAGGGC